GTCAGAGTAAACATTACTTAGCAACAACTACCAGCGTTGTTCTCAGACTGAAGGTCAAAAACACAGCACTGCACCAGCTACTAAGAAGGAGAAAAAATGACTGCTACAGCTGAACCCAGGACAACTCCACAAGTGCTAAGTGTTATTAAATCCAAGGAAATTCTGCATTGGAACCTGACAGGTTGGATAAAACTGCAACCATTTTAAAAGGGTTTCAATAATGAGAATTAGTAACATTAAAAATTAATTACATTCGTGACCAAATTTAGAGTTACTACCTCTTTCTTTTAGTTAGCAGATTTTGGGCCCAGCAAATTTATATTGAAGAGATATTTTGTCTGAAAATTGGAGATCCAAGTTCATCCTTCTATCAAATAACTGTGCCAAGTGTAACTAATAAGACTATTTCATCCTCAAACATGCAATAATCTCACAGCAGTTTTTCAACATTCAAACAAAGATCCTGGAACTTTGACCCATGTGATTAAATCTTCTCAAAATAATTGTAATAATGACTAGCTTGTAAACATGGCATTGTGCTATTCTATAAAAACACTTCTTTAAACAGCTGAAAAGAAACCTACAAATGTTAGGTCTTCCTTTTTTAAAAGGAAGTATTAAGTGGATGACCTATCTGAAACACAAAACACCTGTATGAAAATATGTCATACCTTTTCAATGAAGTATAAAGCCCAGTGCCAGTAATTATGGCAAGCAAGCACATCGCTGTTCTGGGGAAAAAGAAAAAAAAAAAAAAAACAAAACCCAAAAAAAAAAGGAAAACATTATTTACAAAGTAACTTTCCATTTAAACATATCTAGTCAGATTTCTGTTTCTTTCCTCAATAAAAATGAGTATTTCACAAGATGGAAGAGACAGAAGACAAAAACTTTAAATCAGCTGGCAAGGATACCTTCTCATTTGATATGTTTGCTCTTGCAGCTATTCAGGCAGACACTTCAAAAACAAGGTTTCCCCCACATCATTTTCCAGAGAACAATTTCACTTGGATGCCTCAGAATTCACTCTTCTGCCACATTTTTATTTTTCCCCTTATGGGAAAAACACATCCCATCTAAAATTTAGGTGTCTAAAGTAACCTTGATAGATAGCGGAGAGAGAAACTCAGCTTACCAGGGCCATTCATCCCACCTGTCTAGACACCTGTCTCAGACATAGAGAATCACCTTGTAACCATGTTCAAAGTGAGAAAATCACTTTGTAACTGGGGAATACAGAAGCTGCACTAGATAACAAACACTTCGGCAGTTCATTGGATGAGATGAATATTTGCTGGCCTGTACCAACTTTGCACTGTCCTTTCCAGCTGGCACCAGAATTTCAAATACTCTTCCCTAGCCTGCACTTCAAGACAATGTCATTGCAGTTCATTTTTGTGAGTGCACTGAGAACAGGCAAACAGGCATATAATTCTATAATCCTTTGATGAAAATTAAAATACCAGAAACATTATCCCTCTCCTCCCATTCCCTCTCCCGGTGCTGTAGTAAAATTTAACATTCTTACAAGTAGAAAAAGCATCATTTTCATGGTGACATCTGTAATATTCCCAGCGAATGTCAGAGCTTTATGGTGCTAAAGTAAACATTCTGGTAATCTCTAGTTGTTTAATATTAAATCACAACCAAACCCGAGCAACTGAAGTAGTGAAGTGTTTGGCAGAAACCTAAAAATATGAAGTTTAGTATCATACTACCATTCCAAACATCATACAAACAAGAACATGTGAGTACCTCATAAACAACAAAAAACCCTTTTTACTGCTGCTGATTCTGAGTTCTGAAAGAGATTAAACTGCTAAAGGAGAATTAGGCTTCTAGGTAACTAAAACAAAGAAATAAAAGCAGGCTATGAGAACTCACCACAACAGCTCAGGAGAAGACCCACCGCCATTTAATAGTAAGCCTCACCGGCAGAGAAGTCCTGTCTGGTAAGATAATTTGCCCTTTTTGATTTTGGGCTGAAATATACATTAAAATAAATGGTATCTGATTTTTGGGGAGAGGTGGAGGAGCAAATAAAAAATAAAATAAAGCACTTTGTAAAGACAACCTGTACAAAATCCTTGCCCTTCTTATTGGGAAGGATGAATTAAAAGCAACAGAAGGAGACTGAATACTGGGCAACACAGATAGATGATCTTGCTCATCAAAAGAAAATAAATAAGTATTTCAAGTCATCAGGCCAAATACAAGCAGCTTTATTAAAGCCTTTAAAGGGACCTGCTTGTTTTCACAAAAAAACCTGTGCTTACAGTTTAATGCTCTGTGTTCTATCATAATGTTTAAGATGAAAAATACTGCACGAAAGAGGTGATTATACACATTATCATTATGACCATGCTATAAATCTTAACTATATTGGGTTGGGCATGAAGATACATTATACAATTCTACTTACTGATCTTGCTCTTCATTTTATTTGGATAAATGGTATAAATCTCAGAGGCATGCAACTATTTTAAGAAACAAGTTCAAAATCAATGCAGAAGTCATCAACTGGGGGTTTTTAAGGTATCGCCCAAACTGTCAGTCCCATGTATCACTGTTTCCTTAAAACCAATATACAGGAGGATAAAATGCTTTCTGGGAAATCACAGGTATGTACCTCAAGCAACGGTTTTCTGCCTGCACTTCCGAGCCTGCTATGCTTAACTTAAAATACACAAGTGCAACATAAATACTCGTTCTAGTCTCATCATCCAGCCCTGCTCTTTGGGTGAGGTGGAACAGCCAGCTCAGATGACTCTAAAATAGACTCTTGCAGGTTCTAACAAATTCAAACCTCACAGCCTTCTGCTCTGAATATAACATGCTTAATCACAGGGAAAACACATAATATCCAACCCAAATAAAAATTAAGCTTCACTTACAGAAAGGACTGACCGTATGACAGACTAAATAACCTGTTCAATACCCTGAGAGATAGGCAAATATGTTTGATATATAAAGTAACTTCGGTACACTAGAAAACAGACAAAAGCATAATTTCTCTTTACTTTACAGTTAACCTTTAAAAATCCCCTTTCAGAAGCAAACAAATATTTTATGAATCTGCTAGAACATTTGGCTGTGTCATTTCACATCTCATCTTAGGTTCCTGTGAAGAAATTTAGCCCAGTTCTTCAACTGACTCTCAGTGCTCATCTCAATCTAAGCAAAAAGATTACGAAAATACCAGTGGTCACTTTAATTTTATAACCACATAATAAATTACATATATATAAATCACACACAAATCTCAGTTTTCACATCTGATGCTTCGCCTGACCGCCATGGACATGTCTTTGTGGCCTACTGCCATGTTTCCTATTTTTGTAATCTTGGTAGCTGTAGGAATGATGACTTAAAGTGGTCCAAGGTATGTCCCCCTCATAGAATCAGGACAACCTTTGTGCTCCTTTATATTCCTGGTTGTCTGGTATATTTTCTTGTGCCAGATTTAATTACAAATACAATAATGTATTGTTACATATGTTTAATGTTATACGGTAATAAGATTCCTGTCTCCTATATTTACATCCCTTTCACTCACTCATTTTTTCTGCTCTGCTTCCCATTCTTCATTCCCTCTAGGTGGAGGAAGGGGTTTTGGTTTTTTGTTTACTTGTTTCCCCACCTTAGAAAATACAGATTTCATCTGCAGGATGTTACCTGCCATATTTGACAGCTGCTTAAGACAGCAGAATTTAGCTCAGTCAAAATTTCATTGTAATTCAAACTTTTGTATGCAAAAGAATACCATGTAAACAGAAACCTATCACATGGGTCTTTGCTCCACTACTATTCCCCCATTTAAAGACTAAATATTTTCTGAAGGGGAAAAAGCTTTTCTCTTCATAATCAGATCTCAACAGTAATTGTTCTACCTACACCAGTGAAGCACAGAGCCACTAAAACACTTAATTATGCCTTGTGAGCACCACTCAAACACCAGTGTTTACCTCTGAGGCTGCAACAAAATTGTATGTTTCTGGTCTGGCAGAAAGAGCTTTCCAGAGTCAATAGCATGACACTTTTTCCCCCCTCTTGCTTCAAAAGTGACACAGATAAATAACAGCTCCTCAAGTTATGGTTTCTTCTGATATGCAAACTTTGCATTGCTTGTAACATGTCTGCAGATAGGAAGGAACTGCATGCAGAGGAATCAAGAACTTGGCTGGAGGAGGTAAAGGAGATCTAAAAGGAGGTTTTTCAGAGATGCTACAACAGTATTTACCTTCCAGTTGGTTTCTGTTTCCTTCATGAATTCTAACCCTTGCTTCAGCTCTGCTTTCATCTCATGTACATGAGCTATAGTATGAGCAGACCATGCATCCGTCTTACTTACAGACAAAGCCTGCAAGTGAAAAAAGGGAAAGCTTACAAACTTTATTTAACAGTATTTAACACAGCTGATATAGAAACAAGAGACTTCTTTTTACTTGCTGCATGTTAGGAACATCCCTGTACCATTCCAACTAACCACAGCCAGGAAATTTAGTTTGGACAGAAAAGGAAGACAATATTTATTGGCTGACTTCACTTCCCAGCTTCTACTGCATAGAGATGAACACCTGTAAAACACTTCAAAATGCAGGCTTCGATGAAGACTATCAAATGATATTTTACTTCACAGACATGCATCAGTATCAGCCATGAAAGAACTGCATGTACAGGCACAACATATTCCATGACATAGTGTCTTGCAGATAATCATGTCTTCTTCAAGAACAGGGCCAGATCTGAACATTCAGAAAATTCCTCTTTCTGGCTCCAGCAACTCCCACTAGGTTTTAGGCATTTTACAAGGTTAACCATTAACCTGGTAAATGTTAAATGTTAATATTTAGCCTTTGTTGTCACTTTCAGCACTTTGCTGTATCAGAAGTTTTGCAAAAATACCCAGTAGAGATTAATTATATCTGAGACTCCTGGAGGACTGGGATAATCCTGAGCTCTGGAGAATGTCAAGCATAATTACTATCTTCATAAAAAGAAAACAGACCAGCTAATATTGATCCCAGGAACGCTGTAAAGTTAATTGTTCTATAATCCAAGAACAAGCATCTGGGAAAAAAGGGAGGGGGAACCCAAACAGGATGGATTGTCAACAGCAGATTACATCAAACCAATCCAAAATTCTTTAGTGGTAGCATACAGCCAATTATACATGGGGGAAACAGCAGATAGGATAATATATGGATTTTCAAGTGGTGTTCTGATACTATCTGACAAGGTATGCTCTTAAGCAAGAGAAGGAAATACAGTCAAGATGAAACTGCCATGGTATGGCCTAGATGTGCAAATCTTTCCAAGGAATAGATATTAGTAAGTCTCTCATGAAACTCTGTAAGCATTTCCATGTTGACCTTTCTCTCTTTGCTACTTCTACTAACAACTGGGGTGATGGAGAGAGTCAGGTCACAGCATTTCTGCAACCACCACCCAGAGACAGTGACCATGTTTAAGAATTCTAAAACCTTTCAGCACCAATAGCAGGCAGTTTACCTCACGAGCAAGCTCCTCAGCACGATCAAAAAAGTTTGTTTCCATGAGTCCAAAAGAGTAGTATCCCTTCACATAGCTAAGCAAAATGGGGAAAAACAGGACATCATCCATTTAGAACTAGATTTCATCTAGGACTGAAAACTGTATTCAAACAGCATTTAACTCAAAACATTCCAACGCAAGGTACAATGAGAGTTCAAGTTTGCAGAATACAGAACAACTAGGTAGTTCTCAGAGGAAATGAAAGGCTCAGAGACACCAGCATGGGAAACAGTAACAAGATGCATGTCATCAGTGTTCTGACAGCTGAAATCTACATTTTTGGATAAACTAGAATTAAGAGTCACACAGAACAGTTGCAACATGCAGACTTAGAAGGCTGGAAGTGACCCAGTGCTATCACCAAAGCTATCTGAGCATCTCAAAGGCTGTTACGCACATACCTGATGCAGTAATTTCAAGAAATATTGACATGCTTTTTCTGCAGATTCATAGATTGCAAAATCGCACAGGGTATGTTTCTGCTTTTCAAAAGATCTTTTGGGGTTTTGGTTTCAAACTCCTAAGGCAAAGGAACTATTAAAACATGTGGTGTGTGTTGCAAAAGATTTATTTCCTGGATTGAGACGAACAAAAGTTGATTTATTTTTTTTCCTCACGTATCAATTCATGTGTAACTCTACATGCCTGTAAGCTTGAGGATAAGGGGTACTTGCCAAGTACAAGGGGTACTTCAAGAAAAACTTGGCATATGGGTGTTTCCTGTTGCTTTACAATTGTGCTCACTAAGTGGACAACAGCCTGTACTTTTGTAGCACTGTGTCTAGAAAAGTTTACAAAAATGCAGTCAAAACTTTCAAGTTGTCTGTCTTCCCAACAAATGAAACCACTATATTGTAGTTAAAAAGAACTAAGGGGTTTAAATTTTTCAGAGTTGAGGTAATACAGTTGGAAAAATTAAACTCCTGATACTACCCTCTGTGCCATGAGATTGTGGGGTACCTCAGGGAGCTTCACTATTGTCCTGGGTTCAGCTGTAACAGTTACTTTTCTCCTTCTTAGTAGCTGGTGCAGTGCTGTGTTTTCGACTTCAGTCTCAGAACAACGCTGGTAACACCGATGTTTTTAGTTGTTGCTCAGTAATGTTTACTCCGACCAAGGACTTTGTCAGTCTCATGCTCTGCCAGGGAGGAGGGGAAGCCAGGAGGAAGCAGAGACAGGACACCTGACCCAAACTGGCCAAAGGGGTATTCCATACCACAGCACGTCATGCCCAGTATATAAACTGGGGGAAGTCACCCGGAAGGCCCAGATCGCTGCTCGGGTCAGGCTGGGTATCGGTAGGTGGGTGGTGAGCAGTTGTGTCCTCTCCCCTTGTTATTTCCCTTATTATTGGTAGCAGTAGCGTTTTTGTATTATACCTTAGTTACTGGAGTGCTGTTATCTCAACCCATGGGAGTTACATTCTTATGATTCTCCTCCCCATCCCTCCAGGAGTGGGCACGAAGAAGAGGGGAGTGAGTGAGCGGCTGCGTGCTTCTGAGTTACCAGCTGGGCTTAAAACACGACAACTATAATGTTAGCATTCAGTCTGCATGTATTCTCTGCAGTGTTTGTGGAAGAAAAAAGAAGAGTCAAGGTTGTGTTCAATATAGAGGCATAGCACATTGGTGTTCAGCAATATTCATTAAATATTCAAAAAGTTATGGTTGCCTGTGGATTGTCTATTCATTTCTCTCATAATGTTAAATGCATGTCTTGACTTATAATTTAATGTTAACTTTTATATAAAGGTAAAAGCTTTCAAATAATTTAACAGGTCTTAAAAATAATTCTAAAAAAATCATCCCAAATTAGTTTTTATTAATGATCCCCTTGTTGATAGATTCAGATTATCCTGAATTAACTCTGGGAAACTGAAATGTTCAGGTCCGAACTAAAGAAACTTAAAAACGTTCTGCCTTCCTGTTAGTTTTTGCTGCAACAGCTGTTAAAGTATATCCTAAAGTTTTATTTCAGAACTACACATGGGTATTCCAAGTTACAGTTCCTTTCTTCTTTCCACTGTTGTCCTCTATTACTCAGAATGTGAGCCCCAAGTTAAAAATTGGACCCATAAAAGCTCAAAAGAATTTTGCCACTGCCCTCAAGGAGGACGTGATTTTATCTTGTGTGATACATGCCACGTGCTGTATTCAACAGCAAATTCACTAATAGAGCTACAGCTCACTTAAGAAAAAAACAGTGTCAACAAGGATACAGGAAAGATGTTCTAGCTGTGGCAGGTCTGATTCACTTATAAGCCCTTGATTTTGTCTACATGTCCGTTTCCCAATAGATCCTGTTATTTGGATGTGTCTGAACTTAGAAAGCACAAAGTACACACCTGATAAAGAGCAGTTTTCAAAACGAAGCATGACCCACCTACTTAGTGGAGTATCAGGTGTCCAGAAAGGATAAACCCGGGCAACAGAATCTCGCATCTGTATATGATACCCCAGGTAGAAGTAAGCGTCCTGGGAAAATCTGAGGGCTAGCAGGTCGGTAGGGTGGCTCTGCAGAATCTGGTCCCATAAATCACAAGCTTTTGGAAGACGGCTAGAAGTAAAAAAGTATTTTAATTGCTGTGAGAAGGCACATACACATGCCTCTACTCTCAGTTCTAAACTCATGCTATTCTGAATTTCTATGTATAAAATTCAACATCAAATTATGCTAGGTTTTTTTTCTTTGATGGGATTTCTTAGTCTTTTTAAAGTAATAATGGCATCCTCTTCGCTGAGCACCTTCTGAAATCTTCTGAAAGAAATGTCCTTGGGTTACAAGTCATTGTAACACACAAGGAAAATTAAACAACCTTAAACCATAAATCTAACCATTTTCCTACAGTGTTGAACAGCTTTTACAGAGACCTATCATAATTCAGCTAACTTCACAGGCACAGACACCTTCCCTCCTACTGAGAATCAAATCCATATTAACAGGGATTTAGTAGCTTCCTCTTTACCTTTGCTAAGGAGTATGTGAGGTACATCCATGCTCACCTGTTTGCTTGAAAAATAATGATGAAGCATTAGCCCATAGTTTCTGCAGTGCACATAAATTCATTATATTGAACAGAACAATAAGCCTTTACAGCACTTCTGACCCTCAGCCATCTTCTTGTTTTACAGGGGAAATAGTTTTTGACACAAGGAGATAACAGAGAGATGAAAAGTCTGTCTGCAGCTTTGCTTTTGTGTATACAAGTCTCTGTTATATTATATTGGACCCTACTGTAGTCAAATATTTAGCTTCCTAGTTCTAAACCATATATTCCACTGGTGGATCTATGACATTTAAAAAATGGAGTGCTTAATGATATGAAGCGGTGGCAAAAGAGCACTCCCCCTCCTACAGTGCTGCTCACTAACTAGTCACAGTGTTTACAGTTTGGAGAGATAAACCACTTCGCTAGATGTCAGTGCACGTGAGGCAACACTACTAAAAAACTATTGCTTCCACATGTGGTGGCTAAAACTCTTCACAGTCCTTTAAATGGGATGACAGTGGACTTACCCACTTGCAAACATGTCCAACGCTGATACATGAAGCTTCTCTCGCTCAGTCAGTGGCTGTGATTTTGAAAGCATCATCATTGTTCTCATTGCACTGTCCAGCTCTTTGTTGAGCCGCACTGAACTTCCGGTGCCAATCAGCTCCAAACCATTAGCAATGACATGTCCCATTGCTACGGAAAACAACATGCAACAAGTTGAACTGTACAGCACTACATTTATCCCTACATAAACGTAAGAGTCGTTTATTTTGAAGAAGACAGACTTGTTGTCACAGGGGTCCCGAAAGTCTTATAAGCCTAAAGTTCTTAGAGACTTTACATGAAAGCCATTTAAAAGGCTGGAAATTAAAAGAAAAAAAAAAACCACCCCAAAACACACAAAACCATCCTAGCCTGCTCTAGATTCTGAAAAAACTTTACAGAATTCTCTAAGCCATCACATATGCCATCACACCAAGACACCAGGTATTATCCAACACTTTCCATGCTATGAATTAAAGGCTATACTCACTAAAATTTGGATCTGCTGCTTTTAACCTGGAGAGACATGCCTCAATACCGCCGAGGCTCTCATTATTGGCCCAGGTTGCATACTTGGAAGAGAGACAGAGAGAGATGCAGTCAAGGAATGCCCAATGATACTGCTCTTCATTTCATTCTTCTGGTCATTTAAAATTCAAATGCAAGCAAGGCAAATGACTAAAAGACAAACACTGCATTCAGATAGGGCTAGCATAGTAGCAAACCAGAAAAACTATTTTCTTTGAGATAGTTTGGCCACCAGCAGAACTAATACCCTGGATTTTGATGTGGTTTATCTTAATGGGTTGATTCTCCAGTGTCAAGCAGCAAAAGTACGCTGGCTGAGGCCTTCCCAACAGCTGCAGCATCTGCATAGCCCTATGTTATAAGGGTTTTCTGCTGCCCTAATGGCTGAAGTCCTCCGGCAGCCTAATTTTGAGGCTCTCACAGTTGGTAAAAAATTTGAAGGTGAACTACAGCAAAGACTATTTCATGCACAAATTCCTTCAAAATACGTTTTCTTACACGTTTTGGTCATACCTGTGTCAGCACAGCATCAAATAGCTTACAGGCTTCATTGCTGGTCGTGGACAGGACAAGTCCAGCATCTTGCCAGGCCTGCACAACAAACAGATACAAACACACTCATTTTACATACTTGTTTTCCAGACTACTCCAACTGATTTTCAAATGTAAAATGCACCAATATTTTTGCCAACTATGCTTTAAAAAAAAAAAAAATAAAAGCTGTAAGGACAGTGTGAGCAGACACACAAACCTTTATTTTGTTGTAGTTACATTTAAGGACTCAATTAGTTGCAGCTAGCAGTGGAAATAAAGCAACAGAAAGTTACAACGTGTAATAGATCTTGATGGGTTACACATCTCATTATAAGAGACTCATTCTTAATTCATTACAACTCAACTTTTGGCTGGTCCCTCTGCTGCAGACACACCTCATGTGGAGTAGAGACATGGTAAAATAAAACCCTGTTCTTTTATAACTGAAATCAATACTTTAGGTATCTTGCGGGCCGAACAGCTTGGCAGAGCAAATCCATCAAGTCACTGGAGTTTAAGCCAACAAAGAATTTGGGCCACAGGTTTGTACACAAGCCTTACAAAAAAGGGGTCATACAGAATGGTTTGGGTTGGAAGGACCTTAAAGCTCATGTAGTTCCAACTCCCCTGCCATGGGTGGGGACATCTTCCACTAGACCAGGTTGCTCAAAGCCCCATCCAGCCTGGCCTTGAACACTGCCAGGGATGGGGCAGCCACAGCTTCTCTGGGCAACCTGTGCCTGGACCTCACCAACAACAGAAATCAGGCAGCCACAGTTTCTTGAGAAGCTATGCAACACTGACTGAGGTGCTACATCTCCTGGTTAGCTGCTGAAAAATGAAAATGCCTCATTACGCAGAATGGTGGAACTGAGCTGCAGCACCCTGTTTCATGATTGTCTCTATGACTGCTCTATTAAGTAACTCAGGCAACAAAATTAAAAATCCAATGCCTATTTCAGCAAACAGGCATGTAAACTCCAGTTGTTTGCAGGCCCTTTCCCCTACACAGGATGGCCATACAACCACAAAGCCTGTCAGTCATCTCACGAGCTGAGGTGCCTCCCTTAGCAATCTATTCAGATATTTGTAATAATGCTTGGGTTTATTTCCGCTAATCACTCGCCGTTCAGCATCCTGATACTGCACCCATCATTACCTCTACAACTGTTTGTCAAGCACAAATTTATATTCAGCACACCATATACATTTCTGTTTAAGCAAACACACATTTGAGAAGCTGCTCCAATCACTTCAGCATCACTTCTATTTCAGTACACAGAACATATAGGATAGACATTAAAAAAAAGAAAGACCTGGGGCAAATCAATTTAGAGTCCTCCTAACGGGAGATTACTCCTTGCAGATGCTGCAAAAATTTAACTCATCTCATTTTACACTTTAACGTAATTCCTGGTTCTAATGACCCAACTTTCACAAATGTTAAGTACCCAGGCAATGACATCTTTGTTAATATATTCTAAAGCTTTCCCACTGCGACTGGATTAAAGGCTCACATTCCAGCAGCTCAAGCACTTGAGTGTTCAAATTACAAGCCTGAAAGACTAGACCTGAATATAAAATTACAGATTTTCTTTACAATTCATACTAGATCCAGAAACAGTGTAGAGAGAAAAGTTAAGAGGGTAGCAAGGTTAGGCCTGCTATTTACAGGCTACCTTTCACAGTGCCCTGAAAAATAGACCAGGAACCACTTTCTTCACCAGTCATGCTCCATTTGAAGATGGTCCATTTGAAGCAGCTCTCTGCTACTGCCCGTTTTGCACAACAGCTTAAGGTACTTGCCAAATAGAAAATGTCATCTGTTTTTGAGATTTGTTAATGCTACAATTATTAGGTATCAAAACATCTGTGTATCATCAGAAAAAACAGCAGAACAAGAATTAGTAAAAAAAGGCCTGCATCCATCATTAAGGACACTGCTTGTCTAGTTGAGGTACATGCTGTGAGAAACGGTCTCTCGATAAAAACCTGTAAAAGCTCAGGTTAGACACAGCAGTGAAGCAGCTATTCATTTTTGCAAAAATGGGTGTCCTAGCAAGTAGACACACACAGTAAAGGCAGGACTTTCATATTTCCTATCCTGTCCACAAGTTCCCTCCCTTGTTTCCCCATTGCTTGGGTACTCCAAGGTTTACAGCCTATCAAACACGTATAATCTACATGCTGACTGTCCTGCCTCTGTTTATATCTCCCCTTACTCGATTTCGTATGTCCCTTCCTCTTATTTACCTCCTTTTATGATTTGATTTCATAACTCTCTGGCATACATGTGGTACCCCAACTTACTGTTTAACTACAGAACCAGTTTGCACCAGCTTAGTTTCATAGGTTGTACAAAGATAGCATTCTTTTTAACCACAGAGTGTGTCTGTTGCCCAAAGATGACATTGTCTTTAACTACAGAGTGTCTGGTTTAAGTCATGTTATTTCAAGCCCCAATTTGCAAAGCCTTAATATTGCAAAGCCCCGTCCCCAATATGTGAAAATAACACTGTTTCTCTCACACATGCTATTTCTACCCACTCCAGTAAGCCTCTGCTCTGCCAAGGCTACAGCACACATTAACTCATTCCTCACTGGAAGACTCCCACTCTGACAACAGGAGGATGGCAGCGAGGCTCTTCCTGTTGGCATGCCACGACAATTAGCTACAGGGAAGAACCACCCTGTAACAGCTGCTGACTCCTAAGAAAAAGAAAAGAACTGCTCCAAACCTAATCAGCTGTTGTTACCAAGAACCAAAGAGCACTGAAGAGCTGGCAACCCTTGCCCTCTGCATTATACACAAATGGTCCTGTCCAGACTACCTGGGACAATCATGCCTTGGGGCTTGTCTGTACTCATATATCAGACTGTGACTGAAGAAGTCCATCAGAGAGGGAAAGGAAGTAGGTAAAAATCAGCCAGAAGACTTTATAGAACAATTATCACCTCCCCTTCCTACAGAGGCTGCCTTCGAGTTGTGTCACAGAAATTTCCCACAATCTTTCTCTTTAATTCCAGAAAAGACTCTGTGATGCCTGTTGGAGGAGAGTGCCATAGCCTTGGATCTCCTTTCTGCTTCCTGGTGAGACCAAAGCCCTGCCCTTTCTCCTGCTTTAGTATAAGAGTCTAGTCATGAGATCTGGTGACTGTTTATTTGTATTTTTTTCTGTGCTAGAATCCCAGACGGATCTAAGAAATACGCTCTCTGCAGGCTGCTGTTAGCACATTGTCTATTATTCGAGTGGTAGTTCTCCAGGGCTCTGCTGCTCATGAACCTATGACTCCGTCAGAAGATCTCCAAGACTTCTGTTTACTTCCCCTTGCCTAATTAAGCAAAAACAACTACAAAAGGAGCGACAGATCATGAACATCGGGAAGAAAGCACTCAACTAATCAGTAACTAGCCTCTGCAGGCAGATTATGAACCCGTGGACTCAAAGATGGCTTAGAGTGGCCTGACCAGCTTTTGAGGACCACAGAAAGGGCGGGTGCCACTGGCCTGCACTATGAACAAGACCCAGAGATGTTCAGACACGGGTTTGCTTCTCCGGCGGCAGGCAAGGCTGCAGTGACTCGTCCCCATTTTAGATCCCAACAGCAGCCTCACC